GATTAGAGCTCGTTCTGTCGCGGTCTCATGGGTGATAGCAGGTGGACGGCGCATCCGATCGGATCAGGACGTGTCTGGATAAACACAAGACAGACAAAACTTTACAGCTGTGCAAAATTTATCATGTTCTTTCCTTTGCAGAACACAAAAGAAGATATTTGAAAGATTTTTAAAGACTGTTTTTGTCCGAACAATGGACCCCTATCATCATAGTGGGCTAAACTTCTGTACAGTACATTAGTGCCCGGAGCGGCGTTATATCCAGAAGTATTTTTTCCATTCGTATTTTTTTCCATTCGTTTTCTCTAGTTTTAAGGAGGATCACAAAATTACTTTGATTTGAAGGAAAAAAGTTTTTGAAAAAATTGACAAAAAGACTTTAGTGAGGGGAAACAACTACAATCCCATGAGGCATTGCAAACAGCATAATCAAATTGAAAGCAATGGAGAAATATAAAATGTACCCATTTAAAAATGTCGATTATATATAAAACCAATACATTTTAAGTTAATTGCAAAATATGCATGTAATATATATATATATATATATATATATATATTGGCGCATCTTACTTGTTTTGACTCTGATTGTTGGAATTTTCTACAGCATCATGGGTAATGCAGATTTTCACCATGAATTCCACTGTTAAACATGACATTTTAATACATAAGTTGAAAAAATGTAGGCTAACAGCTTCAGCAGAAGCAAATACCATCAATGATGTGCTATTATTGCGCTCTATAGTGCTGAATGAAAGAGTTTCCAATTGTTTTAATAGTAAAATACAAAAATAGTAGGGATGCACGATATCAGCCACCATATCGGTATCAGCCGATATCTATGTTTATTTTTTTTGTTACACTTTATTTTAAGGTATCACTGTTGCAGTGTAATTAATTATACATGTAAGTACTGAGTAATATTAATTAACATGTACTTACTATAGGGTTAGAGTTAGGATTAGGGTTTGGTTTAGGGTTAGTTGAATTTAATTATTTAAAAGTAGTGGAGATGGGGTAGGATTGAATAAGCTTATGGTTCTTCCTACTCCTTTTCGGACATGTATAAGTTAAATTTTTTTTTTTTTTTTTTGTTATTAATTTTTTTTTTTTATTAATTGTTAGTATGATTGTATTTTTTTTTTCTTTTATTGTTTTTTTTTTTTTTTTTTTTTTCTACATGTTCGAAATAAAAACTTTTCATTCATTCATAATTATGCATAATTAACTGTTATTACTATGTTAAGTACATGTGTAACAAGGACACTGTAAAATAAAGCGTTACCCAAAAAAAAAAATATATATATATATATAAATATGAAAACTAATGACTGAATTGTCATATTAGGCGCACTGTTCCTTTAAGTAGACCAGTGGTGGTGTATCAGGTGTAACTCTTGAGTGTGTCCAAGCAGAAGTATATGTTAGTGTGAGTGTGAGAGTGTGTCAGTGGAACAAAAGAAAGACGAGCAAATATTACGAGTAGGGGTGTCACGATTCTCCAAATCCTCGATTCGATTACATTTTCGATTCTAAGGTCACGGTTCGATTCGATTCTCGATTTTTACATTTATTTTTTTAAAGCCGAAACCGGCCAATCAGGATGCTCTCTGTCTTAATGCGCTTCATGAGGCACATGCGCAAGATCTCTCGCTCTCTCCTGTGCGCGCGCGGTTTGGAGCACAGTTTTTTCTGTCTCACATGCGCGATTGCGCGCTCTTGCTCGCTCGCTCGCTCATTCCGGGAGATTACAGCCTTGTTTATACTCGACGCGTCCGCAAGAGCGCGAGTCTCCGCTGACTGCGCGCGCGCCTCTCCAAACGGACGAGGCGTTTATACTCAACGCGCTCGCCGTTGTGCTATTCTGTGAAACGACAGGGGGCGACTAAAGTAATTGTCCTCTTAACCATCAGGAATCAATGTGAGAAGAAGAAAGGTCCACACGTGACAATGTTTATTTTAGTACATCACCACCAATAACACTACAAAAAGAATCGTGTAAAATCCAGTAAACCCTGAGATTCTTATTGTGACATTAGAACAAAATATGTGGATATAAAAACGTATGTAGGACGTAGGCTATACAACTCAATTAACGATCTTTTAAATATTTTCTTATTTCACTAAACATTTAATTAAGTTTAATGGACATTTTATAAAACATGGAACTTTATTTTTATTAAAATGGCTTATGTTTGCTATAGACTCATTTTGTAAATGTAAGAAACTAATTTAAGACGCACAAACTGGATGCCGGTGCGGTGAGACATACATGCTCGGCCAGATTCGGCTCTAAGTCGTTCATCTTCGGATGCAGCGTCGCGCGCACTGTTACAGCTGCCGATGTTAAGTTCTGTCGATGGGTCTCCTGCATCTGCTGCAGTTGCCATGCTATCTTTTGAATGGCTGTAGCTAAGTTAGAGGAGGTTGACCATATACTCGCAGCTTTTCAACACGCGTGTTCTTTTCCCGCTTGGCACGCCGACCGGACGTGACATGGGGGCGTGGCAGTATCGACGATTCCATTTTTTAATTCGATCGATTCGAATTTTTTTT